TTACGAGAGTTCAAGAGTTCAACACCAGCCCAGAAAATATAGCCTAATGACAAGTACAAAGAAATGCTCTGGACACAGTAGGCAAAATTAAGGGACACCATACAGCTGCTTAACACTCTAGGCAGGGAGTTACAGTACCACCCTCTGGGTTCTTAAACCTAGTCTAAGACAATCTACACACAGTAGTTCAGGAGAGCACTATTACACCTATCTTTGAGGCTCTCTTTGCATATACTTGAGTCCAGACTGTGTGTATAATGAGACAACAGAGTGATTGATGAACTGCTCTGGCTTCTGTAGGTTGTAACACATTAAGTAATGTTTCTACTACTGTTATATCAACAAACTTTCAATAGGAGTTCACAAACACTTATATACCCCTAAAGGATATAAAATGAAAGAATAAGGCAAAATCATGCTTGGAGAATCTAATGACAGAGTTTTAGCAATCCTTCTTCTGTGATCAGATGTCAGGAAGATGTGGAGGAAAACATATATTCACAAACATACACACAATGTTAAAGAAGTACCAATGGGCAAAGATTCAGGAATTTAAATACACTATCTCAAAGACTTCTCAAACTGAAAGTATAATCAATTTTAAAGAATTCTGGACAATGAATGTTACAAACTGGCCAAGACTCAAAAGGAAACACTCATTGACACTTGGCACATAAAGTCAAGTGCTTTCTATTAATAAAAGATAATTATATTGTTATAATTTCTTAATCTTAGAAACCTACAGCAAGGAAAAGCAGCATAGACAGATCCATGCGTATTCTGACAGACAAACACATTATGTAGGCTAGAAATGTGAGACAAAGAAATTCCTTTAAAAAGAAACCTGAATACTTGGAAAAGAATTTTCCTTATTAGGGACTGATAAACCAGAGGACGTTGTCATCAGAAGAAAATGTAGCCCAGCAATTTCAGGTTCAGAATATGAAACAGAACATTCACCAACTGCCAAGTTTTCAACACACCACACAGACAATAATACCTCTTTTATTCAAAACTGCTACAGAAGGCTCTAGTAATCTGTCTTCCCCCCACCCCCTAAAAAACAGTGCCATGTATAATCAGATCTGGACTATAAAACCTACAGATACTGTATTATCAAAGTAAAGGACAATAAGAGATTTCAAAACAAATTTATGTGTTCAAAAAGACAAGAAAATCTTTTTAGCTATAACTACCAAGTATTGTTACATTCTGAGTAGAAGCTCAGAAATACAAGAGGGGACAAATAAAAAGCCCTATGAAAACAGACTGTGAAGAAATTTTAGTTATGATATCATTATTTTGATAAAAGAATGATCCAACTTAATTTTTTAATTAGTTAAATAAGTATACAATGAGAAAGCATCCTCAAGAAAACACAATGTAACTGGATAGGGTGATATAGTCTTCCAACACTTGGGAGACCAAGACAAGAGAATAAAGTTGAGGCCAGTCTGGGCAATGTAGGTACCCATTCTCAAAGACTCAAAAAACAACAACAAAAACAAACACCCTCTAACAGTACTTTAATTTTATACCATGCAAGGACTGCTTTAAAGTATGAATGATATGTCTTTACTATTAGTAAGCAGTATTGCAGGTACTAGGTGCAAACCACATTTGGGGCAGTGACACCTGAACAAAAAGATGTGAATGTTGTCAAAATTATAATGTCTTTCCAATAACTAGAAGTCATATAAAAGAGAAAGAAAGGTTTTTGATATCTCCCTTACCAGAAAAATTGAAACTTCTTTCTGCTAATACAAGAAGCCATAAAACATTAAGGCTGGGAGGCTAAGGAACAAAGTGTAAACACTATGGAAGGTCTGCTCACAAGAAGATGAGAGCATTCCCATGTACTGCAGAAGCAGCAGGACAAGCACCAGCTTGCACCTTTCAACACCACCCACAGCTATGCATGCACAGCAGCTGCTGAGCTAAGGGAGCAGACTATCCTCACCTACACATCTTTATATGGAAGAAGCATGGCACCAGTTCTAAGTGACATCATTAACAACATTCTGTGTCCTGCCTCTATCTGTAGAAGCCAATTCTAAGTGTCATGACATCATTAACAACATTCTGTGTCCTGCCTCTATCTGTAGAAGCCAATTCTAAGTGTCATGACATCATTAACAACATTCTGTGTCCTGCCTCTATCTGTAGAAGCCAATTCTAAGTGTCAAGAACATCTAGTCTCCCTCTCTACAGCTCTGTAAGGAAGAATCTAGTCTGAGAGTTAGGGCTCCCCGTACTTCTCCCTCATTTCTCTGAATCCTTAGTCAACTCAACACATCCAGCACCTGCCCCTTCAACAGAAAGAGGGAGAAGCAGCTCCAAGTCCCACCCACTGAGGGATCGGAGGCCTGCTCGTTCCTAGCACTTCTTTGTCCTCCACTCAAAACATAAGAAATTATTGTGCCACAGAATAATTTACCAGATGACTATCTTTTCTTTTCCAGTGTACTAGAAATAGTTGGTCTTCAGAAGCAAACAGGGCTACAATAGCCTGATATTCCCTTACAGTCTCAGGAGTGAGCAGCTACCACCCCTTTGATTAAGCTGGGAAACTTTTTTGGAAGGCAGGATTAGAAGGGATATTACCATCCACACTAGGGTCAAAGAAATACCCGGAAACTGCTGCTATATAACCAAGAGTCTAACAATTAAACTTTAAAATTACACACCTTTCCCAAAATTGACAAGTTTAATATTATCTGCCTATTCTCAAGCACAGGGAGATGGAAATGCTGGGGGCAAAAGTTTCCATAATCCCTACTAGTCTCAGGATAGAAAATGGATGCTTTTCCTCCATGAAATGCTATGCTTTTACAACTCAGTCTGCTATCCATTGGCAACTTCACACACTAGTGTAGAAGGGATTAACAAGCAAGGTACAGTGACACACTTCAGTCCAACCCTCTGAGGCTAAGGCACAAGAATCACAGCAGCCCAGGACAACAAAGCTTGGGCAACACAGTCAAGATCAAATAAAGACCAAAAAGGGGGAAAGAAGGAGGAAGGCAGAGGAGATAAATAGGAGTAACTCTGTGTTCTAGATGTGTCTGAAAAGAAGGGGCATGAGCATCAACATCTAACTTGTGAAGCACATCAAGATCTCCAGAGGAAAAACGGGAAGCCTTTCTGTAGTTTCCTGAGAGTAAATTTATCACTGTCAAAGGGAGGATGGACTGTACACTGCGCGCGCGCGCACACACACACACACACACACACACACACACACACACACACCCTTCTTGAGGGGAAGGCAAACAACTAGCCTCTGTATGCTAGAACCCAAAGCCTTGTGCATGTTAAGCAAGGGGACAAATAATATCACAGGGAAGAAGCAGAGAAGGGGAAGAAATAAACAATACCATCGCACACACAATATATTCTATTTAATCAATGATTATGTATTCACTTTATGAATAAATTCTAATTTTGCTATTTGAAGGCCACTCAACTACTTGTGACTGTGACTAAATTTATGTGTCTAAAATAACATACCTGAAAGTGGGAAAGAAAACTAACATATTCTCAGTAAGAAGCAACAACTTTCTTTTTAAGCCAACCAAAATCAACTAAAAAAGACAAAACCAAATATAAAAATTTTTAAAACTCTAGGGTAAAATTTCAGGACTGGACACTGTAGGACACATGAGCTCTTAGCTGTCTTCCTATGTGTTCATGTAGGGTGAGTGATGTACAGCTAAGCAAACAAAGGTAGCAACCGGTCTGAAACAGGAATCTATCACCTCTGCCCTGTTAGCACTCCCCTCCAGCTGCTGAAGGTCCAGACACTAATTTGGACTGGGATGGGGGATTGTGCACTGAAACTCTAGTCAAGGAGAAATGTTACAGTTAGGCCATACAAAACTTTCTGTTAATGGAAACCAGCTGTAAGGAGAAAAAAATGTCATTTCCAATATTTGAGACTGGTGAGGTATTAATGGGCTTTTTCAATTCCAAGTTTCCACTCTGGAAGAAGGGCCTTTAATTCATTACTCCCTGAGTGTCCTGGCACTCCTCAGGATTACCTTTCTAAAATAACTGTTCCATGGTGCAGACTGTATATCCCTCAGGTATGTGCAAGGGGCTGTCTATAAAGAGTTCTTTTCTTCAAAGCCATTCCTTATATGAAAAGCCACGAATCTCCAAAAAAACAGCCTAATCCACACTCAGCATCAAGGGTGTGCCATTTACAAGACATTCTGATAAAATATTTACTACTGATTATTTTCACCATAATTCTATTTCCCACAAACTTAATTCTATTATTTTGGTAAATGTTTTTCTCGGGATTTGGCTATTTCTCTTATATAGTCCACAAATTAATTTAAAACTTGTTTTTAATACGGTATGGCAGCACATACCTGTAATCCCAGCACTTGGGAAGCTAACACAAGAGAATCATGGATCTGAGACTAGCTTGACCTACACAGTCAAACGATGCCTCAATAAACAAACAAAATTTTTGTTTTTTCATCACAAACTGAGTACTTAATATATTCCACTACCAAATCAAAACCAAAAACAAGAAGTTACACACACACACCATCTATATCTATATAGGTAGATATATCTATATACCTATATAGGTAGGTGGGTAGGTAGATATTATTTTCCTCTATGGAACTTATATAATTTTGGCTTGCAGAAACTGGCTCTAGGAAATTCAGGTAGCAGCTTTACCCAAAATAAAGCAAATCATCTACAAAGTTGTTAAGAGCAGAAATGGTGAAACGCACATCTCCTATACCAACACAACTCAGAAATCCTATTTCCTATACCAACACAACTCAGAAATCCTAAGAGTAGGTTGAAGAAAATCCATTATCCCTAGAACTGTGAACACTGAAGAAGATTTCTAGAAACGACATCCTGAAATCCCAGACAACTGTTGAGAAGCTATGTGAATCAAACTATTAATAACCCAGAAACCATTATAAAATTGGTTTCAAGTATTTTTTTATAAGGAAAGAAAGAAACAAACCAACCTCAATTTTGTCTGTTTTGGCATCTCCCCAGTATATTGTGCCTTCATCATAATCCAGAGCTAAGCCATTTGGCCAACCAAGGGAAGTGTTAACAAGAACTACTCGGTCAGAGCCATCCAGAGCTGCTCGTTCGATTTTCGGGATTTCTCCCCAGTCAGTCCAGTACATGTACCTACAGAAGCATATAAAAAAAGAGCTGAACGATGATAAAAGTGAAACCCATTCCACATGTTACATTATCATCAGTCAATGCCATAAAAGGGAGGGAGAGAGGGGAAGGAGGAAGGGGGAGGGAAGAAGGGAAAGAGGGAGGGAAGGGGAAAATAACATAAGACTACTTAAGCTTTGGCAGAGTAAGTTTCTAATATGTATCACGGCATTATATAAGCACACTTTCAGATCAAAATCGCTCTCCAGAATGGATGAAAAATGCCTCCCAATAGTATTTCTATTTTGTAATACATTTCTCCTTCTTCCCATGAAGTACCACTCCTGCTTCATGGCTTGTCAGCTCTGGTACAGAAAGTTACCTAGTACAGACAGTCAGGTGACAAACTGAATTCCCCAAATAACCAATACTGTGGCACTAAGCAATTCCTGAGGCTCCAGGATGTCTAAGTGGCACTCGGATACTGTGAACACTGAGGCATAACATCTACCCCTGTATCAGCCCTCAGAATCACCTCACAGTAGAAGAGCACCGGGAAGACAGAGAGAGCGGTGTCTTCCCTGGACTCCATTCACTCACAAAAACATGGGAGAATAAAGCAATTCTCAAGGTTTTCGAAAGTGAGTTATTCATGTACCAAGGAATATAAAGTAATATAATTCTCACAATAACTACTGAAATAGAATAAAATTAAGTCCACCATGGGAGGGGGGGAAATTCTGAAAATAATTTCTTTCTACATTTTTCATGACCATGATCTAATCTGAGCAAAATCTACAGACCACAGCCAAATCAACAAATCTAACTTAATTTAGAAATAAAAATTACTCAAGATATTCAAGGAGATTTTTAAAAAGTGACAATTCTTGGAGACCATATTCTAACCACTGCATTCTAAAGCTGATGTGGCTCTTTACTGGAAAACAAGTCCCTGTAGCTCTTGTCGCCCAAGCTGTTGCCTCTAGGTACTTGCATAAAACAGATTACTAACATAAACGCTTCTTACCCAACCATGGGATCTAACACAATAGCCCGGGGCTCCTCTAAGTCCTCTGAAATCAGGATCTTCCTCATGGTCCCATTGAGCCTAGTCACTTCTATCCGATCAGTGCCAGTGTCTGTCCAGTACAGGTTTCTTGCAACCCAGTCAACAGCAATACCATCAGGATGAGCAATCTGGGCAGTGACCACAAACTGGCTGCCAGATCCATCTATAAAGGAACGACGGATGGCCCTCACTTCATCATCAGTCCAGTAGATATAGCCTTCTACAGGATCGTAGTCTATGGCAATGGCATGCCGGATGTCTTCTAACTGCAGGACAATGTCAGTAAAATCTGGTGTATCCAAAGAAATGCGTCTCAAGTCTGTCCGTCGGGCTAAAAGCAGTAGTTCAGTGGCACCTAAAACAACAGAGCAAAATCAAGCAATCATTTTAATGCCTCAGGCAAAATGTAGCCACTCTATATAAAATATGCAGAAGTCCTCAGAAATTAAATTAACTGAGCTTATTCTACTCTCTTTAGAATAAAACTAAAGAGTGACACTGTGAAACAGAAAAGTCAATGCAAACTCCATAATGGCTAACCTCTCCAAATCAAGTTTTAATGGATCCACACTTGCTTTCATTTACTAGAAAATCCCTGGATAATAAAGGTACATAAAAGTAATCAACTATCATTTTATTCCTCATAGCTAAGTATTAATGGAGGAAGAAATTTGTAGAATACAGATCCTTTATTCAAGAAGCATGTTTTAAAGGGTCTAAAAAAAAAAGGCTGAGAAAATAGTAAAGTGCTTGCCTTATAAGCATGAAGACCCAAGTCTGATCCCCTCAACCCACATACAAAAAGCCAGTCATGGTAGCAATGTAGTAGCAATCCAGACAGAAAGGTAAAGATGAGTAGATCCCTGCATATCACAGGGTACCCAGCTGAGCCTACTTGGCAAATTCCATGTCAGAGACATGCCTCTGAGGAGGAAAAGAGGTAATGGCACCTGGAAAGTGATACTTGAGTTTGTTCTCTGGCCTCCATGCACACCCGTAAACATGAACAGACATGTGCATGCAAGAGTGTGCTTATATATGTACACATACACAAACAGACACACACACAAATATTAAAAAAAATCTAGGATAAGAATGCTAAAAACTGACTTTTGAAACAGAAGACTGTTCTAGTGTATGTAAATCATCTCCCAGGGAAGCTGTCTTCAAGGAACACAAAGCAATAGCTGACAGCCCTGAGGACAAGGGATGCTCTGGAGAAGGAACAGCAGCACTGGAAAGAGGGAACCTAAGAAGTGCAGCAGTGTTAAGAGTACTTGAGCCAATAAAATCTAGCTCAAGCAGGGATATAAACGGAGATGAAACACAGAACCACTCTAAGCCTAGACTCAACTAAATTGTAACGGTTGCTGAAAAAATTAAAGATAGAAATAGACATAAAATTCAGGAAGGTACTAATCATAAAAGTATTCAATAAGTATCAACTAATCTATCATTAAAAATAAAGACTGAGTTATAAATCAGATTTCTGAAATAGTTAACATGAATTAGGATCCAATGAAAACATAATTAAAAATAAAAATATTAAGCTCAGTATTTTTGTTTATTTTTAATGTTCAAGTAAACCACCAGCAAAATAATCATCTAAGAGGCTAATCAAAAAAAAAAAAAACAACATGTAAACTGTCACCTGAATGAGCAAGGAGAAAAAAATCCCAGCTAAAGTAAGTGTGTAAAGAAACAGTGGCGTATGAATTTAAACTGAATTTGGAATCACAGCTGCAAGGCAAGAAGAGGAGGGAAGGTTTCGGCACCAGCTCTCCGACTGCAGGGCTGACTAAACATGAACTCCAAAGGGGAGAAAAGGAAACGCAGACGGAGTCTGCAGGCAAAGCAGGAATGATCCCACACAACTCACTGCCCCTGCTTACTGACAAAAGGAGTCAGTTCAAACTTTGCAAAGAATTCACAGAACTATTAATTTGAGCAAGGCGATCAAAAACTATAGTTAACTTCAGGCTAGTAGGTGCTAAATATGCATCTGAAACTCAAAACTGGTTAAGCATGTACATATGTACCACTGTGAAGAAGATAAACTTCCACTGCTGAAAATAAATCCTCTTTTTCAACGTCAGGTACATTTTTTAAACAGAAAAGCAATGTTACAAAAACTCTTTTGTTTAAATTGAAACCAAATCACTGTTTCCCATGGAAACCATCTGACAAGAGTCAGCCAGCGTCACCTTTGACTATGAGGATAATTTATCAACGCCAACTCATAATAAACATCCACTAGGTTGACTCAATTCCATCTCACTGACTCGCTGACCTCCTTGCCAGGAGCTCTCTGACACACTCTGGAATAAAGGCGCCTGGCCTTCAGAGGTAGATAAAGAAGCCGCTTCACGTACAACGATTTTCTTACCAGGTTGTGCTGGTTGCCAGAGAATGGTGACCCATAGGGTAAGAATGAAAAACAGCATCCTCATCCTCATTAAGACAACAAGAGCTGGTGTTCTCCAAACTACAAGCCCCTTGCAATGTCCTAAGCCAGTGCCCTTCTCCCACATGTCCTCTGTCTATAGGAATTAGTAAGAATGAGGAGAAGAGGCCAAGCAGACTGGCTGAGTTAAAAAAATTAAAGTTACTTTGATAGTACAATGAGAAACTTTTTCTTAGGATCCTTCTTTGTCATTAAAAAGCAGTCAAAAATATCTTTTACTCTTCACAATAAAAGTTTAATAAATAATTTTCCTTCAGTTTCTTATTTACAAGTGTTACCCACCTATTATGAGATTGTGATTTCAGTGAATATGAAATTTAGCCACGAAGAGAAATAGTATCTGTTTGTCGGTTTTGTTTTTTCCCAAAACAGAACGTTTCTAAGTACTAACTAAATGAAACAACATAAAATAAAAATAAAAGCTGACACACAACATAAGCCATCCCTGCTAACAGTCAGCTGAGAGGCTCCCCAAGCACTGCAATGCTAGAGCTTACAAAAGAAATGAAAGTTGTTCATCAACAATCCAACTGCTCTCACAATTTTCTCTCCCTTGGATAATAACAATCTTACCATCTTTGCAGGTTTTTCCATTCTCCAGAAGCTTGACCCCAGTTGGACAAGCACATTGATAAAAAGGCTTGAGCGGAGACATCAAACACAAATGGGAACAACCGCCATTATCAATTCCACATGGATTTGTAGCTGTCGAATATAAATCAGACTGATTAATACCAATGATGAAGGATGACCTCACTCACTCTAGATACACAAAGGTTAACAACCCTAACATGAGCAATGGTGATAAACCAAATGAACACCAAATTTCATCCAGGTGCTTTTTGGACTACCAACCATCTGTAAGGAAAGGAATTACTTAGTGAAAAATTACTTAGCATTTTTTAACACAAAGAGGAGTATTAAGAAGAAAAGCAGAAGGTCCTTGCCCTAGTGGAGCCTATAAACTTATCAGTGAGCCAAAATAATAAACCATGAAAATGGAAAGAAAACAAGGAAGCTAAATACTATATCGTACATTGCCAACTCAAAGAGGGTAGACATTCAATGAGGAAATTAATCTTGGTGTTTAAAAAGCTGGAGGGAAAAAAACCTTCACAGAATGCATGGGGCCCAGCAGGCATCCTGAAGTCCATACAGGAGGGGTCATTCTGAACACTGGGTGTGGTAAAAAGCCTTCAGAATAAAAAATTAGAGACCAGGCACTGGGAAGCAGTGAGAAGAACACTATTAAACAGAGGCTAAGGTTTTCTGTAGACGGGTAGGAACATCAAGAATGGGAACACGCTGTGGCAGAGGGTATGAAAGCCAAGAAATACAATTAGAATGTTGAAAGCCATCCTTTGGAATGAACAAGATGGAAAGATAAGTTCAACAGAGTAGAGGAGGGAAAGGGACACACAGAAAGACAGGCACAATGGCACACACCCGAAATCCCCCACCGGGAACTGGAGCACACGGCTCAGTCTTAGGTACAGGGAGATGGGGCAGTGTGAGACACATGGGATCCTGTTTTCCTTTTTATTTTTATTAGACCGAGTTGCAGCTTAATGGTTTGAGTGGTTGTCTAGAATGTACAAAACCTAGGGTCAGCCTCCAGCACTGCAAAACACAATGAGAGAGAAAGCAAGAACAAGAACAATAGAGACAGGGAAAAAAAACAGCCAAGCCTATGAACACTGTAGAAATGGATATATTCAAATAATATTCATGGAAATATCAACATAAGATGGAGAGCAACATAACAGAAGACATAACATAAAACAGAGCATCATCAAGAAAACTGAAGTTCTCAAACCAGTAAAACAAAGAATCAACTGTGCCACTTAAAATGGGGTTCTGGAGACTTTCTGAGGACTAACCATGAGAATACAAAGTTCACAAAGGACTAAATAAACATTTTATTTTTACACAGATTAACACATCTATTTTAAAATGCTTTTGTGAATTCACAGTCATCAGACTCCAATGTAACACATTCAATATTTGATTATCTTCCCCTAAATGGAAAGAACTAATACCAAACAACTCAAAAGTCCAAGCACTCTTCCTTTTTGGCTATGGAAAACTATTTGAAATATACTCAGACACATGCCAGACATTTATTTACACATAAATGCCAAACATTTACCATTCTCATATTCCTTTTAAAACCCAAATCCATTCCTCTCTTACAAGGAGTCATTGTCAGCAGACACAGCCCTGTGTAACCAAAAACAGAAGCAAAGCTAAAAAGAAAAACACACAGACGGAAGAGGAGGAGTGCATATGAATGCTTAAGGAGGTAGTTTATTCAGTACACTCAGGTACTGGAATTCATCAGCTAGGTTAACAGAGGTTTCCTATTAAATCAGTTTTTGTTGTTTTTTTTTTAGCACACTCACATGAACACATACAAGAATAGTGAGAAGAAACATGAACAAGAAATGCATTTATGTATAAACTTAGAATTCTTAATTTTTAACTCATTTTTCTCTTCTCTACTTCTTTTGTCCCAGCCCCAAATGAAAGACAAGCTATTATGCAGTAAAAAGTATCAGGCCGCAAGGGTTTAGACTGGTGTTAAACTGAATTCTGTTTGTATGCTTTTCCTCTGTTATCCCTCCTACCGTGTTTGGATATGCCCTTCCTCCTCCTGGACCTCACTAAAGCCAGACATCAGAGTGCTACAGAGCTGTTCCAACCTGGAATGTAAAAATCCAGATCACTTACCATTTGGCTGCCTCTGTTGGCTGAAAGCATGTATATCCATGGGAGAGAAGATGTTAGAATGGATTTCACGCAGACCCTCGCCAGTATACTTGTTGCAAGCCAAAATAGAGTGTGTATTCCAGTCAGTCCAGTACAATGTGTCCTCAAATAACGTCAAGGCAAAAGGATGTGGAAGGGAACCTTTAACCACTGCCTGCCTATTAACACAAAAAGAAAAACTCAAACTTCTAAAATTGTCTTTTATGAAAACATCATAAAAGATCATCACTCAGCAATGAAAGGAGTTCATATCAACACAGACATGCTAAGGAGCACATACCTGTAGGTTAAAACTACATGTGAAAACAATTCAAATAGCAAATTCAAATGTTTTCAAGTTGTCAAAGCTCTAACCAAATATTCAAAATGGTCCCTGCCTTGGCAGCAGGCCAACGCAGTCACAAGACAGAGAAGTACAATTTTAACACCGCTGTCAGCCCCTTCTCAGCAACCGCCCGCCCCTAGGCTCACACTTTCTATTCTTCATGGAATTAACACGACCAGGAAAAAAGGAAGCACTGAGAAAAACCCAGGGGTGACAGTGGCACCAGGCAGCAGATTTCAGGAGACAAGAGGTCTGTCCCTTCTTGATGTGTAAGAACCAAGAGCTGAGCCTGTTTTTCAATCTTAGGATTTTAACAACTGCAGCTGAAAACATACACATGATGCTAAAATGACAGGCAGGACTCAAGTCTAGCTACAGAAAATTATTATCTAAGCTATTTCACTTATTTTTATTCCAATATAATTAAACCTTTCAAGTCAGCTAACCAAAGTCCTGTATTGGCACAATATGTTCATAATATAAAACTAGAATTTCACAAACAAAACATACTGCATAAAAAGAAAGATTCAATCCTCAAGACACAGCACTTTTCAGAGTTGTGCAATTAGTAAGCATTCTAGACAAAATGAATAATTGTGATTTTGGTCAAACAAACATTTAAGACAATCAATACTTCGGTATTTTCATTAACTATGTTTTCCAATACTCAGCCTGGGGGTGAGGAGAGACACAGACACACAAGCTACTGAAGAGAACAATTCAATTGCAGGTTCACTGGGTGACTTCATGATCTCTGGCAAGGACAACTGTGCAATCAGTGTCTGTTGTACATGAACCAGTCCTGACCTAAAGTGCTGTAAATTCAAGACAGGTTTTATTTTAAAAATTGAGTACAAGATGAAAGCGGCTAATTTATATTTTAGAACATCATACTGACTAGCTGACCTAAATCATCCATTTTCTCCTTTCATTTTCCTTGTTTTTCTTGAAGATCTGGGACTGAATTCAGGGCGTGCAAACACAAGGAAAGTGTTCTCTCTACCACCGTGTTACGCCCCTACTCCACACGCCAGCTAATTAAAACCTGAAGTCTCAGGGGGCACGATGGCTCAACAGAGCCCTTGCTAACACTCCTAAGAGCCTGTCTTCAGTCTCCAGCACTAAGAGATATGCACACAAACGAGTGCAGGGTTTTGCCTGGGAAGTGACACAGGTTTGTAACACCACACTCCAGGGACTGAGAACAGTCCTATGGGGAGAGCTGCCTCATCAATCAATAAATACTAAAGTCATACCAAGTGTGTTTTCTGTCCAAACTGGAATTCATCAAGAAACTAAAAACCAGGGCTGGAGAGATGGCTCACCAGTTAAGAGCACTTACTGCTCTTACAAAGGACCTGGGTTCAGTTTCCAGAACTCCATGTTGACTCATAACCATCCAAGTACTGGGGATCAGTCACCCTCCTCTGACTTCGAAAGGCACCAAGCACACACAACGAACATACACATACATTCAGGCGAACACACATAAAATAAATAAATCTTTTATAAAAGAAATAAAAATAGATAAAGAACCAAAAAATTATTTTTCTTTCTCAATTTTTCATTTTCTAAATTCTTCCTCATTTTCTTCTTTTAAGCAATGTGTCACAGAGGCAGGTAGTTCATAGATATAATCTTTAGATAATATAGATAGAGCGATAAACTTTAAGAGGTTGAGGCAGACATATAAATCTGAGGCCTGTGTAGGCAAACATACAGAGTGAGAACAAGTTCAAAATATGAAAAAAAAAGTAAACAGCCAAATAAGAAATCACAAGATCAGTTGTTAAATGTTGAACTAAAACAAAACATAAAATGATGCTTAAAAATTTATGAATATCCAAAAGCAGTATAAATGTATAGACTATAAATGCCTCAATTAAAGACAGATAGCAAATTAATCTCCTTTCAACCTGCCTCAGCCTGAAGACACTAGAGAAGGAAGAGCACACTAAGACAAAAAGCAGCATGGGAAGACAGGAACAAAAAGTTGATTCTTTGAAAAGATTAACGAAACTGCAACCTGTTAGCTATACTGGCAAAGAAAAAAGAAAAAAGAAAGACACAAACTGTGAAACTGAAAGACACCATGCCTGAAAGGGGAACATCATCAACTTAAAAAAAATCAAAAAATGTAATTATAAGGAGCAATCATAAACATCTTTGTGCCAACAAATAAGTCAACTTACAGGAAATGGAAACATTCTTAGAAAGAAACCAATTACTAATATAGATTCATGGAGAAGGTCAACAGAGCTGCATAAACATACGCAGCCATTTAAAGAACCCCTAAGAAATAGCCAGGCCCAGACAGCATCACAGATTAAATCTACAATAATAAATAATAATAAATCTTAATAGTAATAATTAATCTTACAATAGATAGATACGATAGACAGACTTAACACACTGAGAGAATATAAAGGGAAAGTTCTAAATTAATAACAAAATCACAAAGGTATCAGAAAAAACAAACTACAGATTAATATCTTCATGAATAAGGACATAAAATTCCTCAACAGAACATCTAAAAAGAATTATAAACCATCACTAAGTAGAATTTATCCAAGAAATACATACAAGCTTGGTTCAACAATCAAAAGACCAATTTACAATGTTTATTTTAAAAACAAGACACATACACAATTATTTCTATAGATATAAAATAAACAGGCAAGATCCATAATCATTCATGATTTAAAATTAAGTCAATAAACTAAGAATAAAAGAAAACTTTCTTCACCTGAAGAAAGCATTTGACAAAAAAAAAAAAAAAATCTAACCACACATTTGCTAATCTGGCAATAAGTGCTAATTCTGGAGGAGCAAGAGATATCTTTTATTTATTTATTTATTTATTTATTTAGTATGCAGTATTCTGCCTGCATTATGTCTGCACACCAGAAGAGGGCACGAGATCGCATTACAGATGGTTGTGAGCCACCATGTGGGTGCTGGGAATTGAACTCAGGACCTCTGAAAGAGCAGCCAGTGCTCTTAACCTCTGAGCCATCTCTCCAGCCATGTAGAGAAGAGATGTCTTCTACTCTACATGTAGCCAATGCAACCAAGCAAAAGAGCACCCCACCCAGAAGGCAAAGGGAAGCAGTAAACAGCATTATTCACAGATGACATGATTCTGTACACAGAATATACTTAGTTTTTTTTTAAACCAATCTTCCCAAACCTAGTGAATCAACAACAAGATTGTAAGATAAATGATTCATAAACAAAAATAGTTTGCACTTCTATAAAAAATAAATATTCTACCTCGTTACTAAAAATAATGGCTAGGAGTAAAAGTATTTGCCTGCCATGTGTGAGACACTTGGTTCAACCTCGAGCACCACACAAGAGGGTAAAAAGGGCTGTCAAAATGGCTCAGTGGAGAAGGTGCGTACTAGGCAAGCCTGGCAACCTGAGTTTGGTCTTATAACTCACATAAAAGTGAAAGGAGAGAACTGATTCCCAAAAGTCGTCCTCTGATCTCCCCACACATATAAAAAAATAAAATTCATTAAAAAATAATTCATTTCTAGCCGGGCGTTGGTGGCGCACGCCTTTAATCCCAGCACTCGGGAGGCAGAGCCAGGCGGATCTCTGTGAGTTCGAGGCCAGCCTGGTCTACCA